AACAGGAGGATGATTTCTGCAATCAGGACTTGACAAAAACTGCCCAATCACGTGTCAGGGCTGGGCTGGGTCATGTCTGGGCAACACAGGCAATTTCTTAAAGAGATTTATCATGATAAACATAGCATAGGGAGCCTTCCACTCTGATCTAGACCTACAAAGCCCTATACCTTATTAAATTCAGTGACACAAGAGCACTGTGGGTATAAAGACACACACCACAACTTTGAAACTCATTGCTTATGAAGCATTTTTGTACCTCCTAAATCTTAACAAATGTTTCAGTTCCATCAATTATTTCTGGAACTCCAAGTGTACTAAGAACCAACCAATGGTACAAGAAGGATGCGTTATTTTCCAAGGAGGATGTGTTACTTGAATGAATGAATTCAAGTGGCTTTTCTCTGTGTTGCCCTGATCCCAGCAACAGGGCCTGCTGCAACTTATGAATATAAAATAGTTAGCTGCTACTTCCAAATCCTGATTGCTGAGTGACCTACTAGACCAAAGAGGCTGGGAGTAGAGCAGGAGGCTAATTCCACCCCAGTGCTGCTGGGCTCTCTCACTCAGAGATACCTCAGAGGAAGGAAGAGGTCATTTCAGACAACCCTTGGACCTGGGGCTGCTCAATGTATTTAATTTTTTTTTTTTAGTTTTTATTTTTTGAGACAGGGTCTTGCTCATGTAGTTCAGGCTGGTCTTGAACTCACTATGTAGTCTAGGCTGGCCTTAAATTCATGGCAATCCTCCTGCCTTAGCCTCTAGTGTTGGAATTATAGGTGTGTGCCACCACACCCAGCTTGCTCAAAGTATTTCAACCCTCCCTGCACCTCTTGGAAGATGTAGCTTTATGCAGCAACCCTCAGGAGGAGGAGGAAATGGGCTACACAGCATTCTGCCGACTTTGCTTTATACCCCCCAGGCCTTAAGGCTGTGCAAAGTTCAAAAGTTCCTCACCATCTCCTCACTTCAATCCATCCATCAACCCATCCACCCATCCATTCAACCAACCAGCCAGATAACATGCTGAGTCCTTTCAGATAGGCCTAGCAACCAGCACCTGGAAACAGTTGTGGACTCTCACTAAACATCACTCACTAGATGCACGGAAAAATATGTTTAAAAAAAAGACACAAGCATGGTGGCACATGCCTGTAATCTCATGAGTTCGAGGCCAGCCTGGGCTACATAGTGAGTTCAAGACCAGCCTATACTACAAAGTGAGAGCCTGTCTCAAAAAAACCAAAACAAACTATCTCATCTTTCAACCTTGACTAAACCTACAGACTCTGTCCCAGGCAAAATGCCTGTGTGCATCCACAAATTTTTTTTTTTTTTTTGAGACAGGATCTCACTATGTTAAGGAATTCTTTTTTTTTGAGATGGGGTCTTGCTATGCAGACCAGGCTGGCCATAAACTAGCAGCGATCTTCCTACCTCAGCCTCCCAAGTGCTACCATTATAGGCAAGGGCTACTACAACCAGCTAACTAAGGTAATCTTTAGTCTTCTTGCACAGGTCAGTTTCCCTTGAGTGCCTGTTTCCTGGGGTATGCACTGTGGACATGTGTGGCAGCCTCAGTACCTTTTCTGCACGATGAGATTAATGTTACACAGGGCCACATACTGCAGCTCTGGCTCAGCTGACAGCAGTGTGACAAGAGGTGGAGCCAGCTTCTTCAGCAGTGTACCATAGTAGTCTAGGTCCTTGGACAACATCTCCATGAACTTCATCAGCACCTTCACAGCAGACAGCACCACAGCAGAGTTGGCATGGGAAAGCCTGGGTGTGACCCGCTCACAGATGCTAGGGTCCAGGGGTTCCAATCAGGTAAAGAAGAGACAGAGAAGAGAAAATGTCCTGTTTTTAGTTGTCAAAATAACATGTCTTCTGTACAAGGAAGATCTAGATTGTGGGTCTGCAGGCTGCTAACTGACCCCAAGCAGGATCAGGTTACTCTGCGCTTCAGTTTTCTCATTCATAAAACCAAGATTATGATACCTGCTTCACAGGATTGCTGGGGACTTAAGTGAAACAACACATGTAAAGAATGGCCACAATAGCTGAGCAATTACAGGTGAACACCTGTAATCCTGCACTGTGGTATACTAAGGCAAGGAGGATTGCAAGTTTGAGTTACTATAAAAAGTAAAAAGGAGTTGAAGATACAGCTTAGCGAGAAGGCCCTGGGTTCATTCCTTAGTACCTGGGATGGGGTGGGGGCGTAATCAAGTCAGATGAGTCTCAGCTGGCAACATGCACAACTCCCTCTACCTATTAATCTAGAGTCTCCTCATTTGTAAGACGGTGGACAATAATGCAACGTCCTTCAGAATTGCTTTAAAGATCATACAGTATGCAGAAAACATTCAGCAGAAGCTCAGATACTCAGAATTCAGCAAGCAGTGCCTCTCTTGCTATCCATCTCCTAACTTAGCCAGGTGACTAGGGTCTTGCCAGGTTCCAGGTCGGGCCCTGTCTGTGTCACAGCAAGCAGCAAGCTGACTACCTGAAGCCACACTGGAGAGATAAGAAGTGGACTGGCTCCCGCCAGGTGTGCCTGAGCACCGTGTACAAGGCAAGGCCCTGGGAAGCAGCCTACTCAGGCCTGAGGCTCAGCTCATGGCTGGAGCTTCTAGAGAACTGGCAGGGCTCTAGGTCTGGCAGAGTTGGCAAACATGACGCTTGCTCACCTTTGGGCCTCACGGTCGTCCTTGGGAGTGTAGTTAGCCAGGCAGTCCAGGATGAAGATCTGGCCCCACTCAGTGCACTCGTTCAGGGCTGTCAGCAGCTTGTTGATGGACTGTGGATTCAGGTCAAGCAGGTTGCTGCTGGGGTGAGACTCAGCGATCTCTGAGAGGGCAGCCACTGCATTTGCTACCACCTGGTTGGGAAGGGAGGAGGAAATCAGGCTAAGGATGCTGCTCCTGGCCCAGGGGAGAGGAGCTAATGACTTTGGCAGGTCAGACGTGGGACATCCTGAAAGGAGTATGACCCTACACATAAAGTCTAGAGCTTTGAGATGCACTCCAAGCACTCACCCTGCAGACTCCTCTGTAAATTAGAATTAAAATAAAGGCATCTACCACATAAAAAACAAAACACAACAAAAACCAAAACCAAGAAAGCTGCAGTTCCAAGTGCTGACAGTAAAAAGCATTCCAGCTACCTAAACCTA